TTTTTGGGTTCTCAATTGTGAAAAGTTTTTTCCACTGGAAAAAATGCGCATGCAATCTCCCTTTACTTAGCTCCTGAGAAGGAAGCCATGGAAGCTGAGGAAGAAGCTGAGAGCTTGGGGCTTCTCTTGAGTTGAAGTTCTGAGGCTGCAAAGCAAAAGGATTGTTGAGAACAATTACAAAGCACCTGAGAAAGGAAGCTGAATACTACAATCAATTACAAAAGGAATCCTCACAGGAATCCAGAATTGTTTTGGTGGTAGTTTATTATAGAGGAACCCCTAATTGTTTGAGGGGGGGGGGGACCCCCCTTTACTAATCAGGATCGAACATTATAGTACCCAAACACTCCATGGGACTGCCATAGGACTGCCGATCAATGGGGTGGTTGACTGGAGGTCAATGGGGCGGCATATATGGCAGTCCCATGGAGTGTCCAGGGCACATTCTATTTCAATAAACACCTCAATTTCGCTGCAACCCGGCACATTTGTTGCCACATCTGTCCTTGGCGGCCACATTTTTTGAGCCGCTCTTGCACCCCCTTACTCCAGATCCCGGATCCCTGGTGGCGCAAATATGACCTACAGCCACCCAAAAGCACCACATGTAGGCCCCAAAAAACGCCGCCATGCATCGTCTGGGCATGAGATTTGATTCTTTCATTGGACCTCAACACTCACACCGGCTGATATGCAGCTTCTTCGAATGCTTCTTTCCTGCCTTGCACTTAAGGCATTCCCCCGCGTTTGTTTTCCTGGTAGGCCTTAAGATGGCTTTCTCCAAGTCTTCTTTGGGAATCACGGGCGTGCGCACCGCCGAGGCCACTTCGCTGGAGCTCTCCATCAGCTCGTTGGAGACATTCGCTCCGCTCTCTTTGGATTGGCCTTTGGGTAAGCGCCGGGGCCACGAGCCCTTGGGTTCCTGACGCCGTCCGAAACGGGCGGACACCGGACCCGGGTGTAGGGGGCCGGGGAAGAACGTTTTTCGTGTCCCTGTTCCGAACACGCATCTAAGAGGTGTCCGAGAACTTCATGCTAGACGGTACCATTCATCCACCCAAATTGGCTTAGTTAACGCGTCGAATCAATCAGAAATAACACGTCCTATAGTAACACGTCCTTAGTAACACGTCTTTCTAGATGGTTTCCTTGAAACTAATCATCAGTCTGCATGACCATTTCGACAATCCCGCCGAGGCGCCGTGGACCTGCCAGGGCCCAACTTGACCATCTCTGAGATGAACTGGAGCTCCCCTGGTGGCCGAAACCCGGAACCCGCTCCGAGTCTGGCGTGGTTTGCGGCACAGGGCAGCCGGAACCGCAGCCGGCGTTCGACCCCCAAATCCCGCCTAGAAGCTCCTGACGCACGGCTTGCTGCTCTTCGGCCAGTGCTTGGATTTGTTGTTTCACAACATCTTCAACGATGTGTTTCAATGCCACGCCTGAACGCGACGGCGAGGGCGACTTCCGACGTCCCACTTCGGACGTACGCGCCAGTTCGGGTTTTCAGAAACTCTATCCCCATGAGTAGTGGATCAGAAACGTGTGTTCTCTGGTTGCCCCCTCAAGGCACATAGCTTGCTGAAGTGCTCGTTCTCCATGGCGGCGCCAGGTCCGGTGAGGTGGAGCTCGAGCTGAGCCGAAAGAGGCCGCCAGATCGTCCGGTCCGTCCGTGGCTGACTTCGGAGCCCAAACGTCCGTGGCCAATATTCGAAGAAACCATTCCAACATGGACTGGTGTACTCAGCCTCACACGTTAGTCTCGATGATCTCGATGCCGATGTCTTCAGAAATCGCTACATGTCGTGGGGCTCCCTGTGGTCCCTCGGGCTCCCTGGCTTGTTGCGGCCCTGTTCTTGTCCCAAAGGCATGGTGGCCTAGGCGCGCTAGGTGGTGAAAGCGACGCGTTTTGGAGCCAAGTGGCGCAGTGGAAAGAAACTGCGCGCAGCTTGGCCGAATATTATCTATAGAGGCGAGGGATGTTGTTCTTGGAGAGGAAGTGGGGCCAAAGTAGTCCAAATGTCTCCAGTCCAGCCTCAACATGAGGACTGCTGGACCATGGCCCTCCAGGAAGCTCCTCTCTACGCATAAAATGAAAGCAGGTGATCACAATTTAGATAGGACCTTCAGGAGAAAACATGACCCATTACAGGGCACTAAAGAAGTCATGAAGCGAAAAAACGTTGATTTTGCTCCAGCCAAGCTCTGAATCCAAGACCCTTTTCAGTAAAACTATTGACGGGGCAGGGATGGTATGCTAGGAGGCTGATGAGACATCCCCATCCTTGGACTTGTCGCTCAGGAATTGAAACTGCATACAGGGCTTCCTGGCCATGGATTTGCGAATGGTGCATTGCACAAAGTCACCACATAAATTCCCAAGCACATATTAATTAGGTCCTTGAAAGACCTTCAATGCACATCAAAGCAATATTCTAATAAGGGCGGTCTCTAGCCACTGGAACTGCGCAGGGAGAAACCAGCACCAAGTCCATCCAAGTCCTTCTTAGGCTTCCCCACATTTGATTCATCAAGAATCGCACTACCCCCATAGTATAGATGGCACAACTGTCATTCCAATGAATTGATGCTTTGAGAATAAATCACAAACAACGGCTATGCATCACTCTGCTGCCAAAGGATGCGGTTCCGCAATGAATGCCCCATCCGGGTGCCGGTCTCTTGCTTTCTCCCCCACCCGGAGGAGGGTGCTGAAACCGCACTTCACTGCTTGGCCTCCCAACGCGATTCAAGTTCTCCTTCCACTGCTCTGGCTCGGCCTCATAGAGCCTGAGCCGGACAGTCCGGCTGGCACGGCCACGTCGCGGCTCGACGTGTCGCGCGGTGAAGGACGCGAACCGGGTGAAGGAGACCCACATGGAACCTGAAAAACCATGGAGAACAAGCTAGTCTTGTCGAGCAAGCAGGTCTTCGTTTGGAGGTTCATGCCATTCAAATTTCAGGTTCCTTGTGAATCTTCCCGGCTCTTTGCATGTGAACGCCCAACTGGACGAGACGAACGCGGTCTTCGCAGCCGAATCGGAGGTGCCTTCGTTTCACCATCCTTCCGCAGGCGCTGATGCCGATCGACTATCCGAAACTGACCGGATCGAAATAGGTCTGACCAGGCGCCATTAGGCCCTGGGTGTCCAAAACACGTTTTCAAATACATGGTCTTCTAATTAAGCTTAAGGTATTCTGAGCTTCCTTTAAACATCTTTAAAACATGGTGCCCTATCAAATAGTCTCTGTAGGGCTTGGCGCCATGCTCTCACAAACCCGTTGTTGAAGGTCGCCGAGACCTTCCGTCCGAATCCATGGTCATCCGAAACCGGTTTTAGAGGTTTCTCAAACCACCCGTGAAGTGGCAAAAAGATGTGGAACCATTTGGCTGTGGGGGCACTTCATCTGAAGATGAACGATCTCTAAGAGGAAGGTTCAGCCAATTTTGCGCTTGGCACTTCGCAATGGAGGTCTTTGTAAACCCAAAAGCTGCTGCTCGAAGCACTGTGTGGCTTCGGCTGGTCTTTTGGGAGGCGTTACGCCTGTTGATCTGGGGGGGTCTTGAGACCTATAGGAACCTCACAGGAGGATCAAAAAGCCAATACAGTAGGTGATCCTACTGCATGGAAATACTTCGACTTCTGGTCTGTACTCTGGAAATCTTAGCACCACCTCAGAGCTGCTTTTGAGTCTCCTTGCCCCCTTTCTTCATGGCTTTGATCAGCTTCTTGAGGATTTTCAGTCGTCCATCCACCAGCTGTCGCTCTCCCTTCTTCAGGGTCTCTTTCGACTTCTTGGCGAAGGTGGCCAAGTCAGCTTGGAGTTCCTGAAGGCTCTTGCCCTGAAAATACTCCGCATGCTGCTTCTCCTCAGTGCTGCAAAAGGCTCCGGTGAGCACGTCGCAAGTCTTCTCCACCACATCCAAAAACTTGAGAAACCCTGCCTTGGTGGCAGCACCATTGTAAAGCTGCCCATCGGAATCCCCGGGCTTGAAGTACATGAACTTTGGGAAGATCTTCTCCTCAGCACTGATGAACGAATTTGCTGGAACCAATTCAAAAATATAAGAACCAGAAACAAACCTCTGACCAGGGGCTAGTCTTTCTGTTTTTTTGACTCAAACGACCAGCACATGTGGGGCTCAGTTGGTCACACGTTTTGTCAGCGTTCACAAGCAAAAGCAAGCGTCCATATCCTCTGACTGCAGCTCCTCTTTCTCCTTCGGAATGAAGTTGAACTTCCTAGCCATGTCCTGGTTTTGTTTCTCACCAAAGGTGGAAACACCAATGCTGGCGACCAAGACTTGGCTTTCGGCTTTAGCCAAGACTTTTGCCATGGCCTTAAATGCTTCAGCCTTCTCGCCATATGGGTACTCCCGGTCAAAGCGCACCAAAACAGGAAACGACTGCCCCACGACCAGCGGGAAGCTGGCGTTGTCCAGGTTGACGATGTTGTAATCACTGCCCCAAGCCCCGCGAAAGGCCAACAGAAACAGCCATCTGAAAGGCCACGCCACTGGCATCTGGCGCGAGGACGCCATGGACCAGCCACGCGATGTGTGCCGCGCTAGACGGTGTCTGCCCAGCAGTCCGGTATATTTGTGGGGAGCACCCGACGGGAGACGGAGGTGGTGGATGCTTCTCACCGCCTCCGTAGCCTGGCTTTGGATGGGTTTTGAGCGAGTTCGATACTAAACATACGGCAGCTCTGAAGAAGGCGATGTGGTTTCGATCTAAACACGCTACCTTGAGCTTGGCAATGGCTACATGGACTCGGCACAATGGGCCTTTTGGGCCTATTGGTCGATGAAAGCCGACCCCAAAAACTGTTCCTTCAAACCCATTTCCGTTCTCTTGGGCGTCTTAGGGTGGGTTGAGGTGGGTATCTGTTCAGGGCTCATAAGATGGATCACAGGCATCCATCCCCTTTCGCCCGGTGGAAATTCCTGTGTCGACGACCGACGGTGTCCATCTCATCTCGACCGCCGGTTTCGCTCGGGGAGTAACGGTAGCGCCATGGAGCGGAACATCACGGGGTAACCAGCGACAGTCGTATGACCACATGGTCCAACATGGTCGACTGTGACTAAGTGGTTGGCGCTTTGGGTGAAAGCTGCACATGGCAGCCAGAAATTGTTAAGACCTTCATTTCTGCGAAAGTCCCAGAGAGTAATTGGTTTTCAAGCGGAACTAAACAAAGTGGGCCAAACAAAAAACAGCCGGACCGGTTATTTCCTTGTTTGCCAACACTTGTTCTGACAACCCAGGAGTACTGGGGGCCGTTCTTCAGCATCTCTGCTCGAACGTCGCCGCTGGCTTCGCCCGGAACCCTCGCACCCACGTTACCGCGCTTCAACGCTGCCGAGAGACGTCCTTGAGAGTGACCGAACCACGTCCTTGCAGGCGCTTGCTATGGCGAGCAAAATCTGAAGAGAAGTGCTGAAGCAAGAGTCTCCAAACTTCGAGAGGAATCACTTCACTTCACCATCTATTTGTGGGTCACAAGGACCACTCGGAGCCGGGTTGTGTGTTGAAAAACGACATGAAACATCATGCGCGCGCGCACGGTGCACACCTGTATGGTGATGTGCATTCTTGATAAGCAATTGGACGCATGGTGCGTTGATTTAATGCTCTGTATATCCTATTCCATAATCATCCCACGCTTCGTTGCACGCGAAGGGTTCAAAAAAACACCGGCGGCTCTTTTCTTTTGCCACCCTCACATGACATCGGTGCTGTAAACTCCATGGAAGGAAGGCAGGCAAGAAAATGCCCTCCAGAAATGGCAGAGATATTATAAAACTATATACTGGAGAACATCAAGAAACATTCGGTCAGCACGGTTTAGGGTTCTTCCTGGTTAGGCAAGCCATCACCAGGCCCAAATTCACTTATATATATATATTATATATATATATATTAGTAGCATTAAGTAGCCATTTCTGCTCGAAACATTCCCCTCACCAAAGAAGCCTTCAACTCTGTATATACAACTTACTTACAACACCTGCATGCAGCACTGGGGAACAACACATCCCACACACGGCTTTCAAGACCACCCCCAGGCCGTCCAAACCACCGACCCCCCCCGCACCGTCTCCTCCCACTGCCCGCCTCGGAGGTGGCGCCCAAACCCCTGGAGCGAGCCGCGGCTTGCAGGCTCTCGACGAGATGGTCTGCCTGGCCGTCGTCGCGCTGGCTTAAGGCGGCGGCCGAGCTAGCGAGCGCTTGCTTCAGGCGCGTGCCGCAGGCGGTGCGAGAAATCAAAGCACCAGCAAAAGCGGTGCGCAAAAGGGATTTGAACGAAGTCGGCCTTTGCAAGAACGTCGACTTCTACAAAGTCGGCCCAGGTCAGAATAGTATTGGGTTGGGAGGGTTCCATTCTCTGTGAGTGACCGCTTTCCTTCTGAGGCTGTCCTTTCAAAAGTCCTGGCCTCAACATCTCGACTAGCACATCTCTCTACGCTGGTTGGAGTCCTTAACAGAAAGAACATGAACATGAAAGAGAGAATGTGGAGAGCCCGCAGCATGGTTCCTGTCATTTCTGTCCAGCTTTGCCTATCTAAGACTTCCCGGAACCCATCCGGACTTCGTTCCGTCTTGGTCTCCCCGGCATGCACGCGATCGCGGGCGATGATGAGGACAGGAACCCGATCACGGGCCTAGGCGGAGTTGACTGGAGTGCCCGGACTCGACTGGCGGTGTGGACGTGGTTCCGTTTCAACAGAAAACCTCTCAAAACCTAGTAGCTTCTTGCTACTTAGTATAGCGATGGCCTCCAACCTAGTAGCGATGGCCGGCAACCTTGTAGCTTCTTGTCGTGACACTTTCATCCAACCAACAAAGAATGTGGTTTTTTGGGATGTGTCTCATTGTTTTATTTGGAGGTCACCATGCAGAAGCAGGAGAGAATGCTTTTAAGTAAGGCTATGCCTGTCTGACACTCCAAATTGAATGCCGCTCTCTGCATTCATTCATCGTGCAGGTCTTTCAATCAACGAACACATTGTCTATCAAATGTGCTTCGATGAGCATGCCTTTATATGGTCTTATGAAGGCTCAACCACCTCATCATTCATTGTTCTCTTCACAACTTGTGGAGCTCTACTTCATCACAAATGGTATCCTCTGAGCAGCATATCTAGTGGCAATCTCCCCTATTGTGCCCAGCATGCAGAAGATCATTGCCACACTCATTGCCACCAGTTCCATTCATATCTATTCCGCAAATCTTCAGCAAAATTGAATACAACCCACTGGTTCCAAAGAGCTTAACAGAAGAAGTGACGCTTCGCACAAGACTCGTGAAGCTTCCAGTATCATTATTACAATATACGGTTGCCTTGCTTTCGGACCGGCCGCCCATTCCCAAACACTCCAGACCTACTTGACCTGGCCCTTGGCCCGAGACAAGCATGTAGGTCTATCCACCCTATAGGCCTGTAGGATCCTGTAGGTCTATCTTGGGTATGTCCCAAGCTCCCAGGGCCCGGATGATGGTTCGGTTGCCCTCTCCGTCTCTGTCCCAGTCGTGGTGTTCACCAACTGTCCCAGGTAGGTTAGGACAGACCCAAACGGTCAAACGGCCTGTGAGTTTCGGTGTGTTCAAGGCCTGGAGCCCCGAAGACCCTGGTGACATCCCGACACACACGAAGGAATCTGTTCATGGTTGACATCCAGTCCCTCAATTAGAGAGGAATCTGTGGTTCACATCCGTCCGGTCCATCCCTTTTGGGGGGCCTAGTTATGGGCTGTTAGGGATGCTTCAAAGGTTCTAACAGACCCTATAGGCCCATATAAGGATGGATGTTAACCATGTCAGGGATGGATGGATTCGTTTCTGAATGGGTTTCGAGACCCTAGGCCCGGAGGCCCGCGCCTCGAAGGCCACCTCGGCGATGCGCGAGGTCTGCGCCTGGAGAGGGACGGCTTGGGTGCTTCTTCGAGACGCGGTTCGATTTGTGATGTACTGGTATGAAGAGGCCCAACCTACAAGTGCCCCAAATGCTTAACTTGCCCCAAAGGTATCAATCACTTGGAGTAACTTGCTTGGTAAACTGACTTCTTTACAAGAAAGAAGTCAGTTCCGAGTTTTCTGGGGTCACGATGTGTACTTCTGTGTCACCTCGGGTCCACGATGTGAAACACCAGTGGAACAGCGGGCGGAACTGCCTCAGTGGTCTCCTCCACATAGATCGGCGCCTGGGAGCTCCCCAGCTTGGCTGGCAACGGCCTGGGGACGGACTGCGCATGGATTTTGCTCAGGTCAGGCATGGCAATGTCCAAGGAATTATCATGTCTGTGGTAGTAGTGGATGTCCAATGTCCACAGTCCAAAATGTCCAAAGTCTTCCAACTGAATCAGAACCATTGAAAGCAAACACATGACACAAACATTATGGACCGTATCAAGAAACACATTCGACCCACACTTTCTGCGCATGACTTTTCGTTGATCAGCTCCCATTTCAGGCTTCACTGTTTCATCCACTGGAGATTGTCAAGGCTGTGGCTCATGGAAGGGAGAACCTCGGCAGGTCCTTGGTTGCACGTCGCGTTACGAGGCAGTCCTCTGAACCGTCCGAAGCCTTCAGTGTCAGTTTCTCTTGAAAGATTAAAGAACTTGGGGAGTGGCAACTCATCTTTAAACATGGGGGGCGCACTAATGATATATGAGGGCCCCCCTTGGAAAATTATGGAATAATACTCGCCCGTTTAAAACATTTATAGCCTCAAAAGCAGCAAAGAATGTTAAAGTCTGATGCCTGACATGGTAATGCATGCCTCTGGCCAAAAGCATTGTAAGGTTCAGTTGTTTCAAACCAGAATCTTTCAGTGGGCACGTTATCCTACCGAGCTACCTGACCAAGCTTCACACAAGATCAACAAGTGAGTTGCACCTCGACAAGTGGAGGTCGTTGAAGGATTTTGACATCAATACTTGTACTGTACCGCAGCCAGCAGTGCATGGATCATGGTCTATGTATAATATAGGGCTTGACCATGACCACCTGCAGCTTGTGTTGGGACACATCCCAACCTTGACTCTTTATTCGCCGAGGACCGAAGAAGTTGAGGCTTCACTTGGTTTTATACTTGGATGACCTGGCAAAGCAGCAGGACTCGGTCGTCCCGAGTGGTCCTAGCAAAGCCGAGTTTGGATTTGATCGCAGTCCATCTGCGCAGCCAGCTGCGCAGCCAGCTGCGCTGCTTCAACTTCTGACCCTTTTCTCTGCGACTTCCGGCCCAAATCCCGGGAGTCCGCACTTTAAGAATGGAGGCACCTCGAAGAAAGCTGCTCCTCAGCGCAGGTGGCGAATCTGGGGGAAGACCATCCCAAACACTCCGGGACCAATCAGACCAATGAGTACTGGATTGGAGCATTTACCAGTCCGTGCATGGATTGACCCCTACATACAACCAACCCCAAGGTTGATATATATCATACGTTCTGCTGGCTCTGCTCGCTCTGCTCTGCTCAGGTTGCCAGTGTCCTTTCTTTCGTGTCGCTTGGGCGTCCCTGACGGTAGGTTTCTTGCAAGAAGCGCCGTTCGGGATCGCTGCCAATGGAACCACTCAAGCCTGGCGCGAAGCGCGCCGTCTACAGAGCGGCCGGGGACTCCCACATAGGTGGAGTTAGGTGATGACATCGGCCGGCTGTCCCTGATTGGATCAGGGTGAAATCACCTTAAATCTGATTGGTCACACCCCAGGGGGCGATCTTGAAAATAACATCATATAGCAGCATAACTAGCAGCATATAGCCTATCTCGAGCCACCAATAATAAACCATGTCCACATTGACATCCCTTTAAACATAAAATAAAACACACTTAAACATATGTCTATCCACAAAACTTCCCTCTATTAATCAAGCACATCAGCCCCCAGAAATTTCAACAAATAGTTCATGCTAATATATTGTTTAAACATGGTTTACTTGATGGTCTTTTCAGTTTGCATCCATCTTCCCATGGTGAAACTGGTCCTCCACGCCATTTCCCCCCCGGCCTAAGATGCGGTGGTAGCGTCGGAAAACCCGCGGTCGCGACATCACGAAGAGACGCTCCTGGCGACATCAGCAGTTGTGGGAGCGTCTCCGATGGTGCTTTTCATGCCGCCGGGAAGGTTGAACATCCCGCCGGGCTGGTTTGCTTTTAAGCCCGTTATGCCCATTGGCTGAAGCTTTTTTGATACCCATTGTACAGTATTTTATATCTAGCCATCCTGGAGTAGATAGAATAGGGTGATACCCTACAACCAACAGGAAAGTGGTAATGTTTTGTTTTAATGTTTTGTTTTGAATTAGTTCATATTCCTGGGGATTCTATCTAATCCAGAATGGTTACAGCTTTGTTGAAGAGAAAGAATTGGAGATTCTGCTTGCAAGGACTTTAGAATATGATAGAGAATGCTAGTGGGAGACAGGCGACGCACTTTATCGGAGTTGTTGTCATTCTTTGGAAATATGGCCGAAAAAAGGCCAGTGGCCACCCCACCCCCGAAACGACCTAAAAGATGCCTCACAGCCTCCTAACCCAAAGGCTTTCGAGTCTGAGTGTCTCAAACCCGACCTCCAACAAACACGCCACCACTTGGCAGCAAATCGTCTTCGGTCGGTGCCTTTTGCTCTGAGACCCTCCCGTTGTCCCCCACCGACCTCTGTCGCACGGTTTCACGCTCGCTTTCACACCGTCTCCGTCTCGGGTCGCGCCATCACGGCGTCCGCAGCGCCCGTGACCTGTCCTGGTAGAAGATTTCTTTGCCTCGGGTGGGGCACCGTGTCCGACTCTTTGGTCGAGCCGATGCCAGGAGATCAAGCAATATTGGTTGGACACTTGGAGATACAATATTCTCTCGAATTTGATCAACCAACATATAGTAAAAGGATGTAAAAGGCAATCTGTGGCATCCAGACCTTTACAAGACCTATTTTCTGGAGAGCCGAGACGGAGATTGATTGCGTGTCGGGGTGGGAGAGGAGATGCAAGCATTTGCGGGAAAATGGAGCTGCTCCAACGGTTGGTAGACCGATGAAAAGGGTCATTTGCGCGCCAAGACGTATGAAACTCGGGTTTGGTGGCTCGGGAGGAATTGCTTTAAGTGGACCTGCGTGCTACGTGCTGGGAGTAAAGGGTTGTACGATTGTTGCACGTCTAGAGGCAGCATAGTGTCAGTTGGGCAGCCCTTCAGTTGCGCAAATTCTTGGCAAGAGGGACCGCGTCGAAGGCCAACAAAAACATATCCGATATTATATTTAATCAATTTTAATCATGTTTCTTGTTTGGCCCAAGAGGTTCACGCCTTGCCCACCAATAGGGGCCCCTCAAAGGCAAAGCACAGCAACGGGTCATTACGAAGGGCTAGTTCTGATCCGAAGTTCAGTTACCTCATCCCACTTAAGAGACGAAACAACACCAAACAACACCAAGCTAAACATTTGGACTTGGGTCTGAAAGTTGTTTCGACATGGTCACTCCCTCTTTCTCTCCTTTCCTTCTTTATGTCTGTCTTTCTGTTCTGCTTTCTTTCTTTATCTTTATCTTTACTTATTTGTTCTTTTGTGTTTTTTTTCTCTCTCTCTCTCTCTCTCTGTCTCTCTCCCCCTCTCCCTCTTGGTGTGCAAGTTCTTGCAGAAAAGCTCCCATCAGGGGCTGTGGCAGTGGTGGCAGAGCAATCAAGTGGGGCTTGGAAGGCTTGTAGCATTGTATATATATATATATAGCTGGTTCACTTCTTTCTCCGGTGTCGCCGTGCGGTTTAGGTGGTTTAGTAAGGTGACATACGGACTTGTCAAGAAGTGCGGAAGAAGACGAAAACAGCGACGCACTCGAATCACCCAGGGAACATGGCAAAGGTTATAAAAGTAACATGCAAGAAGTGGGCAAGCGCACATGATTCCAAGTTGCCCAGGGAATCCTTGAAGTTTCGACACTCCAGGGCCAAAGACCAAGCCTCCAGGCAGGGAACGAATCGGTCGGTTGGCTTGCGGACTTGGAATGACTTGACTTGGGGATGATAAGCTCGTGTCTTTGAAAAAGAACTGATTGCAGAAAAAGGTTGATCAACTCACTTCAAAGGTTTTGGGCTAAATGTATTGGATTGCTTCTTTGCTGTTGTTCTTTGTTTTAACTCCGCGTGAGTTCTATAGCCAACATGAACAAATAAGGCTTCACGAGTCCGAGCTATGACAGGGCAAAGGCAACACCCACAGTGTGTTTCACCTCTACATGAATTGAGACAACTAGTTTCAAATCTCTTCGGATCAATCTGTGCCCCCACTTGCAAACACGGATTCCCGACCAATGCCTAAGAAGTCCTGAGGCTACCTGAGTTCCAATTTACTCAGGCTACCTAAGTGAACCACGAGTTCGTCCAAACGCCCGCCCACGACTCTCCTCGCCGCGCCTTGTGGTTGGCCCGACCGGATTGGAGAGCGCAGTAGCGCCCCGACTCCTTGGAGTAGACAAAGTCCTGTGGGCCGCGACTGTTTGGTCAACCGGAAGCGCACCACACACAACACGAAGACCTGCGGTGCAAACATCCATGGTTCTGTGGGTGGGTGAAAACCATCTCTTCAATCTTCGGATTTACAGTAAATGGTCATGGATCGGTCTATACCCATATCATAATGCCACTACTTAGTGTAATTATATACAGGTCATGGTGGAATTTCGATTCCTTAAGAATTCCGGACGGCGATGACCAACCACTGCCCCCCTCGGCAACGTTGCTCCCTCTTTGCTGAGAATCCAATGGGGGACAAAAAACATGTGACACTGCCTAGGGCTCCAGTCGAACCTTCGTTTCGTTTCGGTGGGACTGGGGGCCCAGGTGCCAGCCAGACGGGTCCAAAATGGTTCAAACACCTTCTGAGGAGGTACGACTCGAGCCCTGGGAACTGGAAGCGTTGACCTTGGATGCCACATGAGGCCAACCCGATGCCACATGATGCAGATTTATCGTGCTCGCAGATTGGATCCCGCCAGTTCTCGCGTGATCCAGTGAGTCAGATCCTGACTCCTGGGCACAATGGTAGTAAGCTGTCACGTCAACAGCTTCAGCTTCTTGATACTAGTACTAATGCCTTTGTTACTACTAATTAAGCTTCTTGCTACTAGTAGCGATGGCCTCCACCATAGTAGCGATGGCCTGGAACCTACTAGCGATGGCCTGGAACCTGTTAAGCATGACATGCTGCGCGTTGCTTCGTCACGTCTGCAGAAGCGCCTCACCAGGCACCATCTTCTGCCCTCTGTCCCACTCCTGACGGAAGGGTGACACCACTGATGACACCTTCGCCTTCCCCTGCGAAATCAAAGAGCGTCGCTCAAAGAGCGTGGTTATCATTGGTTATCATGGTTTTTGTAGGCAACTGTGGAGTTCACCAAGTGATTCCCAGCTGTCTGAAGCGACCAGATCAAACCTCTGAAAAGTGTTGAATGGCAGCTGTCATCAGCGATTGTCAGCTTTTGCGACCTCTACTTCTTTTGATTTCAGTGTGCTTCACGATCGGGGCTTGGGGCCTGGCAGAGCTTGGGCCAGGCAGCCAAGGTCGCATCCAAGGTCCACCGCCCCCTCCCGATCGCAGGGGATCGTCAGCCTTGCACATCTCATGCACCACGCGGGAGGCAGCAGGGTGCCCACTGCGCAGTCGTGCTAAGGAGTCGGAGGCAGGCCTTACTCAGGCCGCATTCTCAAAGGACTTGTCAAGCTGAAATATGTATTCAGATAGGGAGACCGGCAAACCTCCCAGGCGTTCCTACTTCCTGGAAGAAGGTCTCCCTATTGGATGAATGGTTGGTACTCCCAAAGTTCACTCGGGTTCATCACTGGCACCACTGCTGCCTTTCATGTCGGGGTGCCCAGCTTAGTCACTCACTAGGCCCTAGGCCCCCCCCGACATGGACCTCCCTGGTGGATTGAGCTTAGAATCCCTGGTGCCCAAACTTGAACGATAAATCATTCATGATACTTCATGGAACTGCGGCTTCGCTACATACAAGAAGAGAACTTGTGAACTGCCAAAGGTTACACAAAATCAGTCGAAGTGGTCATGTTGACTCTGACCCCGTCGCACCACAACCAGCTGCCGGCCCCTTTTTTCGGACTCCAGAGCTGCCAAAATCCTCGAGTACATGGCACCGGTGATGTCCTCATCAGACACCTTGGGGATCAAAGCCGGTCTTGGGGATCAAGTTGACTCACAAGTTGCACACGAAAGCTAGATGATCTAGGATCTTCAAACATCCTTCTCAAGTTGAATCCGCATATCCACTGTCCATCTATGTCCATCTTTAAACTATCGCCGCCTGACTTACAGCTGTTGACCTTCTAAGTCAAAGCACCGTGAAGCCTTCGGGCTTCGGGAAACCCTCATGAAAGCGCCCGAAGTCGCGGGTGCAAAGCCTCGGGGGCACCGGAAAGCGGCGAACGAACGGGGCCGGACGGGCGGACCCGTCGTTTCGCCCCGTTGAACGCAGCGAAGAAACCACAAAGTGCAAAAGGAGTCGGGATAGCTACACTGGCTTTCCTCCAGCCTGCGCATCGACACACGGGCTTTTCAGCGAACATCGCGAGATCGAGCGAACGTATGCACTGATCATTGAAGGGCAAGCAGCAGCAGTCAATGGACAATCACTATATCTGACGACAACTTACCATATGATCATTTTATATATTATATGTAAATTATGTAAATGTCTGCTCTCTGTTACGCAGATTGTTCGGCAACTCTGTGGCTGGGTTTGGCTCACACAAAAGGGTATCCCAACATATCCCAACATCGCAGCTGGATGAACAATAAATACACAATAACAAACATGAGCCATTAGCCATCATTGGGAGCGGGTGGACGAAAGGTAGGTCACTAAGTGCAACTTTCAAAGAGGTGAGAGAAGAGAGAGGAGAGAGAGAGATCCGTGGGATTTGAAGAGCAGCAGCAGCGGCAGCAGCACCAAAGCAGAAAAGCAGAGAGTTCCCCTAGCAGAGAGTTCCCAGAATGGCCTGTGGGAGGATGAACTCAGGTAGCTGAAGCTACCTTTCGTGATTTGTTGAGACCAAAGCACCCCGGCAGTCCTGCAATGAAGGTCTTCAATGTCCTGCGAAACAAGAGGCGAACAAAAAACGGACTCACTCAAGTGAGCCCAAATACACTCGCCGGCGCAATTTGGCCGACATTGGCCAACCTGCGTTTGTCTTTTTCGCTTGCTTGCCATGGTCGTTTCGCTGCTGCTCAAACGCCGCTTCGTCGCTTTTTGGTGATCGAGCGAGTCGGACTGACCTGTGGAAAAAGTGCCGCCCTGCCCTCGCTGAAAGTGAAGGACACGAGTCACAAACATCGGAGTTTGTGGTGAAAAAGGATACCTGGTGGCAAGCCTGAGGGTGTTCTCGCACCCGCGGTCCACGCATGAAATTGAAACATGCGTCGGGAATCCATCCGATTCAAAGGTCTCTCGCACAAAAACTACAAGTCCACCGAGATGGAGCAGCTGACCGTCTCTAAGCAAGGGCTACTCACTGAGTGGATGACTTGACACCCCCAGGCAGGGCTTGTAGCATCGAAACGCTTTCTACTGGGCTTCAGTGACATGGATCCACATCCCAGGTGTTGAACACGCGACACCCTCCACCAGAGCATCCACTCGTGTTCACTCTACCACTGATTTCACTTTTTTAGAGGTGTCCGTGTGCAGTTGAGCTTTCTGAAGGTGTCCCTTTCAGTCGATATGCAATGGACATATGTACTTGGCTGAATGAGCTTGGACAGCTGGAGAAATCGCCACCACTCATGAAAGCAATCCTCGTATCCTCTCCATAGTGTCCGTGTGCCAGAACCAATGGAACGCTGAAGCCTTGCCAAAGAAAATCAGATTCAGCCCGCAACGGGCGAGGCTGATCTTCAAGGCAGCCAAGTGGAGGCAAGCAACTATTTTCATTGATCGGCAAACTGAGCACCGTCGTGAATCTCTGGGATTATCACTTACCACCTGCACACATACGTGGATTCTATGTCTTTCCTATACTCGAGTTTCCCCAAACCTATTATTGACCGGTTTGTTCCAATTACTTGAGTGACTGGCAAAATTCATCAAAATTCAGTCCGTTGTTTTGGGGGGGGAGGGTCCCTAGCACTGAAAAACGGATGTCGGCCCCAAGAAGTGCCAAACCTCAAAGGCCCCGACTTCTCAGCCTTTCTCAAACAGGTCAAAAATCCCCCTGGACCACATGATGCACATGGACCGTACGGAAGACCCTGGGGTTGTAGAGGACAAGCACGGGGTCTGGAGATGCTCTATCAAGTCTGGGTGGACTACCATGGTGACCACTAGGACTCAGCTCGAGGACAACCCGTGGCGCGCCTTTCAACGCGAACTGGCATAGGCATATATCGGAACCAACGGGAAACAACACACGCACAATAACCCGTCACATGAGGTAAAGAGCAACAAGCTCTGTTTGGCCGCAATTCGTAAAGGAGATATAGCAATAATATGGAATAAACTATTAATATTTATACACATATACAATAACATGTAAGGAGAGAGTTACACAAAAGTGTTTTGCCGCTGGCAAACTTGGTCAAGTCAAGGAACTGACATTCACTACATCACTTCCTGAAAAATAACATGGAAAAAATTGGACAGGTGGTGAAAAGCACTCGCTATCCAAGTATATCCAAGTCAGTGGATCTAGCTTGAAGTGATGTCCATCAAAGATTGGACAGGTGGTAGTGAAAATCTAGTTTGAAGATGCTTGAAGTGATTTCTATCGAAGTGGTTTCCTGAAAAACAGCTGGGACATGCGACCCGCAGCCTTGCCTCGCGACATCAAGCGACGGACAAAAATCAGTGGACTCAAAGATGAGATATGGTGAGATATATAAATAACATCTCAGTGGATGTTGCAAATAAACTTGCTGGGACCACGGACTTGAGACATCAACTTGGGGTATCTACGGCATGTAGTATCTCCCAGGGCCCAATGGATGATTTTGGTTACTAAAGGCATGGAACATGCCTTTCCCGGCCTTTCCCCCAAAAATGCTGATCATTTATTACCGACATTTACCAACTGTGGCTGGTAATGGTACACACCCTACATTGCCCTACATCAGCTCATGAACTAAGCGGCACAGATTTGTCTCTGCTCATGGGTCGAAGTTCTTGCCTCCGTCTTCTGACGCGCGCAAAGGTGGGTCGATTCAAATGGTGTAGACACATTACCTTTCTTTAGGAGGTCCAGTCATGTCCTGTTTCTGAAGCACTGAGGTCAGTGTCCGACATGAAGATCAATACGGAAAAAAACATCGACCCTGCAGGAGTGCGCCTGTACAGCATGGCCCTGTACCGCGGCTTTGCCCATCTGGAGCCCTTCACGATGCAAGACTCTCAAAGCTCAGCACTCGCGTGGCGCGGTTGCGCTCGGTCACGGTCGCTGTGCTCATCACTGGTCACATCGCTGGTGAAGGTGGTGATGGTGCAGCCGCAGCAGAGCCTGAGGGCGCTCGAATGGCAACGCAGCGGAATTTCGGATGGCTCATGGTTGGCCAGAAGCGCTCTCAACTCATGAAGATTCATGAAGCAACTGCAAAGAGGGCAAGAAAGACAAGGTCAGCGACTCAGCGATTTTCCCAACTCCAAGGAGCCCTTCATTAGCCTCAGCCGCCCCGCTTCACGGGCTTCGGAAGGTCCCGAATCGTCTTCATCTTGGGCTTCCGGTCGTCTCCACCGCCATAGCCGCCACCGCCGCTGGAGGAGGAGCCACCGCCCCACATCCAATCGAACCAGCCCGGTTCCGAGGCGCCCGGCGCGCTCGGGGGCCGCTGGTAGGCTTCGGATTGCCGGGCGGTGGGATCCGCCTGAAACGGCCGATCTGTTTGGGATGGGCCGTTTCACATCGCGACTGAGGCGGATGAATGTTTTTGTGTCTTTTTGGTTTCTTCTCCAGGTGGTCAACTTAGATGGAGATTGGTCCAAGAACCCGCTTTTCACAGCAAAGAGAAGCCGCTGAACATTTGGAACCCTTTTTCATCCTTTTCTTATACCAGCTTTTGTAGTTCGAAGGTCGTATCTTCACGTGGTGCTTAGAGGTGCTGGCAAGATGTGCTGTTGGTACTGTCGGTCTGTCACACCGAACGACGCGCCACGGTTGGACCCACCGAACGCTGCGCGCCACTGTCGGTACCGTGCGTCTCGTCAGCCGCCGCGCGCCGCCCGCGCGGTGCGGCACCTGGAACTCTTTGAATTTCTGCTTCTGCAACGCGCGGATGTCGGCAAGGGAGCTCTCCTGCTCCTGGCAGGTGGGTGTTTAACTCGCGAAAGAACAATGATGAGTCAGTTCATGTCAGTCAGTGAGTTCAATCATCGTTGTTGAAACAAGTAAACATCATCTAACCATACACACACATATATATATATTATCATATATTATACATACATATATATATTATAACCGTAACTGTATATATAATATGTTTCTTGAAACCACCACATCCAGACTGTGTTGTGATCAAGTGTTCAACAATCTTCACCACATTTGTGGAAGACAATGCGCACCCACTTGGGAACGTGCTATGAGAATCGCCCAAGAGATCAGAGACCAGGGTACGCAGAAAGTTGCAGGTTCAAAGTGCATACCAGGTTCTTCAAAGTGACCGCTGTGACATCCCGTAGCATTTCTATCACAACAACCATCATCAACCATCTACATAACTGCCTGTAACAACTATGTATCGAAACAAGCGATCCCAATCTTTTTCGACTGGTTGCTGTCAAGAACCTCATAAACCTGTTTTTGTTCCTGTTCCTTTCCTCTTCACCCGACGGCGCCCGACCCGGCCCCCCAAAGACCGTGGTTTCTTCTTCCTGGCGCTTCTTCTCGGGGTCATCCCGACGTTTGAAGTCAAAGGCCGACTCCTGTGGCCGCACAAGGCGATCAGAAAGAAGAACACCAAAGAGCACAAACGGGCCCGCTCGTGCCGATGAATTGAATTCCAGGTCACCAGGTGCTTTCTGAAATCGGAAGGGGATGACTTGACATGAAGGCAACACATCTAAACCCAACCCGTGCCCCACGTGAGTCGACAGTTTCATCCCATGGGAAAGGAGTCCAAGACTTGGCAAAACAGTCCTTCATTGTCCTTCCTTCTCATTTCAAGACACAGCAAGTTGTAGCAAGTCATGAATCCCAGACTTGTCATTGAGATCTCATACCATCGGGTGTCCACAAAAGGGCACTGTCGTCATTGATGTTCGCCAAGGACCGGCCCCAAAACAGTGCAAAGAAGGCCGCCCGTGTTCCAAGTTTGCTGGTTCTGAACCGTCATGCGCCATCTGTTGCCGATGGACTGCAATCCGGCATTATTTCCGGCATTATATCCAGACCAAGCCCGCCACAACAACAACAACAACAACAACTACTACTACTACTACTACAACCACTACTACTACTACGACTACTACTACGACTACTACTACGACCACCTGCGACTACGACGACGACGACGACGACTACTACTACTACTCGTACTCGTACTCGCGCTCATACTTATACTCATACTACTGCCAGTTACTGCTACACTACTTCTGCTGCTTCTACTGCTCCTACTCCTACTCCTACTCCTACTCCGACGACGACGACGACTACTACTCTACTGCTGATACTAGCGCACACATGAGCGCGCACACACACACACACACGAGCACATAATACACCAAACCACTGCGCCTGCAACAAAATCTGCCCATTGAAGTTCATGCCCACCAGGCTCTCTTCGTTTCCTACCCTGTCCCAGCCACCCCATCCATGCCGTCCTTCCGATCGCTCGCTTTGGGAGCTGCGATGTCCCTCTTGGCTGGCGAGGGTGGTGTGCGATCCTCGGACTTGGCCTCAGGGAAAGGTGGGGAAGGGATGACTTTTGGGATGCACTTCAGTCCTTCAGTCTGGAAAACAGAATGTCCAAATACACTCCAAGGGGTGGCAGCCATTGACTGATCACAAATGCGACGTGATCCCGGACTCAAGGACTTGACTTGGATTAAATGATCTCAGACTCAGGCTTCAGGAGCAGTCTCCATAGAGAGCTTGATGGCAGCTGCCT